TGCTGACCCTCTCTCTTCAACTGTTCCAGAGCCAGTACACACTACCAGGTAGAAATGAGTGTGCTTATATTCCAGATATGAATTTGCTGTTTGTGCATTCATTAAACTTTCACTTACTCCACAAGGATTTCAGCAAGATACTAATATTCTCAAACTGGTCAAAAGCAATCAGCTGAACATGAAATCATATGTTTTGGCTGTGGTCATCACTTCCAGGATCTTGCTGTTGCATTCTATAGAGACAGATATGCCTGAAATGAAAAAGTTAATGTATTGAGTGAAAATGGAAAACTATATTACATTTAACAAAAGGAAACATTTATTAAAAACATGTTTTCTATAAGGAAACAACATCTAACTGATATGTCTCATGATTATTTCTTCCTGTTGAGAATAGTTTTTCTTTCCTGGCATTATTATCTATCATGCAATAAGGATAATAGATGAGCCCTGGCATAATTCAAGAATCAAATTTGATCAGGGTGATCTAATGGCATAAACTGAAAGAACAGCCTCTCAAGGGATTGTGACTTCCAGCCTGAAGTGGGATACAGTGGCTTTATTTTGCTCATATAATGCCCTCCCCTGCCACCAGTTTAAAAGATTAGACAGTCCTTTTGCACAGCATCTTGTGTTTACCTTAAAACTCCATCTGATATCGTAACAGTGCTGTATCTGAGACAAAATGATGCTACTGAGATCTTCCAGGACATCTGGTCCTCCCTGTGCTTTCTCAGGAGTTACTCTGAGCACTCACATAGAGTTACATGCATGCAAATATTTACACACCCAATCTCAAGGAAAATGGTGATTTTGGTGCAGAACTTGAATGGAAATGGATTGTTCATGTGGTTCCTTGTGAATTTATAAGTGTGTTTGCATACTGTAAGTTTTTAGAGAAAACAGTACCTACTGGTTTAGAATGTAAACAGCAAGCAAGTCAGTCTCATTCTGCAACCCCAGCAGAAAATTTCTCAGAGGGAGCTGTGAAGTGATACTGGTACCAAGTTTCCGTTCCTCCTCACTAAAATAAGGGCAGAGTCTGTTTTGTCCGGCACGCAGCACCTTTGGCAGGTGAGTTCTGAAGCAGTGCAAACTCCTGTGCAGTTCATGAACCCACACCAGCACAGACTCAGCAGGGTGAGATTCAGCTTAAAATTCTTTTAATACCCCAGGCCTTGTGGAGGGGAAACATCGTCTTCATGTTTCCATTTTTATTGTCTGTATAACAAACTTGAGGACAAAATGTTCATGCCTATGTTATCCACAGACTTCAAGGCTAAAATATCAAAGCTAAAAAGTACATTTAAATACAGAAAAGTCGAAACACACACACTGGTTTGTTTGGGTTATTTGTCCTCACTGTCTAAAGTGAGTGGTTTAGAGACAGAGGTGCAGTCCCAAAAGCAGCTATTTAAAATAAACTCATCAGTCTCACTAGAAAACTTGGTGGGAGAAGCAATAATAGCAAACCTGTCCTTTCTGAATATCAGTGGTCAACATAACTGTAGAAGGGGTTGAGGAAGATGATACATCGAATTTATTATATTTTACACCTCTTGTTGAAGATGGCTCAAACCCCTCTGTCCTGAAAGCTGCTTGGTTTTTCCACAAGTCCAGCTCCAGGTTATCATCTACAGCCTTGGCCAGTGTTGTACGGGTGAGCTGCTCACTGTCTGATGCTCACTTCAGTGCTCGTGACCTCACCCTTGACAATCAGTTCAAACTGTAAATATTCAGTATTGGCTATCAGCGAGCAAAGTGCCTGATAACGCTTGCTATTGCCTCATTATTCAGTATGCTCCCTACAAGAAGCTGACATGAAGGGGTAGCAGTCTGATCCTCAGCAGAGATCCTTTGCTGCTGAGCAATAAAAGCCCTTGCTGTCAAAGCTCGACCTGGGTAATGCAGAGATGAGCACACCAGTGATATGTCCATCTTTCTTGGTACTCTGCACCATCTTGTGGCTAGCAGAAAAACACCAGAATAGCCTCTGAAATATTTCCCTCAGGGGTTTTTTTGGTTATGTTTTTGTTTTGTCTGTGTGTGTTTCTTAATGAAAAATGTGGATTGTCAGTGTGCACCGACAAAATTCAGTGCCCTTTTTACAGCTGACCTTTTACAGCTGGATCTCTGCAGGCTGCCTTACAAACCAGCAAATGGAACACCATCATTACAGATAAGTAGGTTGTGTGCAGGTCCTGTAGTGTACACAAGCTACCTATCTGTAGAAGACTCGCTAGCATTTTCATGCATTTGGAACAAATCAGATATTCTAGGTCTGAGTATTAAAAAACAGTTAAGAATGTCCTGATCCAAATGATATATGTCGTTCCAAGAGATGTTTGCTCTTGATCATTAAATATTTTCCCATATTTGCCTTTAATTCCTTTGCCTTTTTATAAAAATTATTTTTAAACAGAATTAGAGGTTTCATGATCATCTCTAGTAACATTGTCTTCATTTGAAAGTTTGTCTTCCACTACTTGCAGCCCTCAATTTCCCGAGAATAGACTTAACATTAAATTGTACAGAACAAAGGTGAAGCTTTTTTATGGTAAACAGCCTTTTTCTTCCACAGGATCATATTTTCTGCCATCCTCCAAATCATAATAGATGTCAGACAAAGACTCTTTTCAAAGCAGTAGAAGGCCATCAGCTCTCCTTGAATTTCAGTGTGACAAGGATCAGACTCTCCTGTGCTCCATAGAAAATTTCTGCCCACATACATAACATCAAAGCTAGGGGAGCCAGTGATGCCAAATGGACAGTTTCCTTTGCCAACTCACATCCACTTTTAGAGGAAAGGGATGGGATGACACTCCACCTGGTTTGGGTTTGCCATTTCTTATGCTTGTTTTCCTGCTTGCCATGGTGATTTGGGAGTTTCCATCAGGCACCAGTTATGTTCCCCCACCCACAGTTGTGCAGGGCAAGCTGGGTGAGCATGTGGAATGACAACACTCTTCAGAAATCTCCCCCTCTTTTGAACAGAAAAAATGGCCCCACAAACATGGTCCTCAGCTTCTGCCACTTCACTGCAGGAGGATGAAGAACAAATCAGCAGACGCATGATGGCCAAGCGAGTGAAAATCATAGCAGAACTCATGAAGACAGAGAAAGACTATATCAATGACCTGGATCTCTGCATCAAGGAAGTGATTCAACCCCTGAGAAACAAGCAGGTGAGTGCCAGGGGTGGAGAACGAGGTGGTGATGTCAAGGTCTCAACTCACCCACATTCTGCTTGTGGACAATCTTAATGCAAGCACAAGTGTCAGCGTGAGAGTGATGTGGTGCTGGGAGCGGGTCCGAAGCTAGCGTTCCAGAAAGGGATATGTCAGGGCTCTGGTGAGGAGAGTGAAAGGCCAGATGTGCTCCTGACATGTGTACTGCACTTGCATAAAGCCTTCATCAAGGTCAGCTTGGATGCTGTATCCTTGCCTGTGGGCTGCAATAGTAGATTCCAGCTCTCCATACTGCTCTGTAATTATAACCCTTGTTACATGCCCTGGCAGACCTTTACCAGTGCCTCCAAGAGGCATCTAACAAACCAGAGTTTTTTCCACAATAGCAACTGGAATGGCATGAACCTCTGCATCAAGGTTAAATTCAGTTGTTAAGATAACTTTATCCAGCCTTTTAGACAGCTGTGGTGGATAAATACCATGCCTGACAGACCTGTGAGCACTTGGGAAATTCGCATTCCACACAGAAAAGGTGCATTTAAGAAGAAAGGCTCAGAAACTATCTTTCATGCAAAAGATCTTATTAGGCCAATGATACCCATTTTCTTTTTCAGCTGAGACTTCAAAGAGCACCTTTTCCTCAACAGTATTTCAATTTGTAGAAAAATGGTGCAGCTGAAAGCTGGGAATAGATGAGATTGTCCAGAGTAAGATTTGCATTTGTGGGGCCTGAAATATAGCATTCACAGAGGCTGTACAAATGATACCTGCTGCAAATACAGGAAAAAAAATAATTTTAAACAGACCTTAACCCAGGTAGTCTTCATGTATGGTTTCATGTGAAACTGGTGACAGAATACAGGTGCAGAGGCTAAAGTGTCTTTAGACAGCATTGGCAATGCCTCTTCAGGAAATGCCATGGTCAACCAAACCCTGTGCTCTTTATACTCCTGCAGTACCTTCCTTTTTTTCTTTCCTAAAACTCTGTCAGAATTTGTTCCAACCCATATTCAGAAGAGCTGGCGTCTGCTGACATAACTTTAAGGAGTTCTTGACGACTTCCTCCTCACTTGTTCATTCACTAGAAGTAGTCTCCACTTGACTCCCTCCCCTGCCTGGCCAGCACCAAGCAAGAGTATTCCCCGGCTGAACTTGCTGAGAATTTTGACAAGTGTGCTGTATTCCTTTGCTCTTTTCCAGCTAACTGAAAACACACATTTGGATTCTGTCCTTTGTCACTCTGTTAACATGTGTAAGTGTCCCTGCACACTGTAGTTCCAAATACTGTGTTGGCATTGTGCTGGGGATGAGGTCAGAAGTCTTGTGCTAGATGTATACAGGAAAAGTAATTTAGAGATGATAACTGTCTTAATTTAATAACCTCTACATTTTTGAAAGGCTTTCAAGAATGGTATATGGTTTTAAGGCTAGTTCTTGGATAAACTACCATATTAAAAGTTTGTAATGCATTTAGAGAAGGGATAGCATTTAGAAAATTGGCCTAGCAATGAATCTGTTTCATATTTCCAAATGGATAAAACATGTTTTAGACCCTATAATACTTATAAAGAAATTAGCTGCATTAGTTCTGAAAGTATATTTCTGATTCTGTTGCAATAGCATGCAATTTGATCCTCGTGGCATCTGGTAAGCTGCTATGTAAGCCAGCAATTCCATTCCAAATGGAGAGGTAGGTTCATAAAGTGTCAATATGGATGATGAAATCGGTCTTGCCTTTGTTCTCAGTATTGGCACTTTACCACTGGCCATCTCTAATTGTCCCTGAATAGTAACTATTGCCCTGCTGTGCAAGGAAATGACTACTGCATGAGAAGTATGTGTCCTGGAAATTTTTTATTTCCTCTGAAATGAGCAGGGACATGGAACAAAATTTTCTGTTGATATAAATTGACACAGTTCACTGAAGTCAGGCTCTGGAGGAAGTTCTTTAGGTTATATTAATACCTGGAACTGTAAACGTGCTTGTTTTAATGGGAATTATATGATCTTGATTGTATTTTTGGATTTATCGCACAATTAACTTAAAATGGTGCCACCATCTAGAGGTCTCTGTACGTGGTAGCTGACACCTAAGTGCCAAGGTCTCAGTTAATGTAGTGGCCTCTGTTAATGACTGGTAATCAGAGAATCAAACCCACTGTCAACTATTCTTTTCTTCAGTGGGAAAGTAAACAAACATTTCAAAGCCAGCTAATGATCTTTTCTTTATTCAGATGATAATATTTATTTCCTTCCTAGGTAAACACTTTAGATTAGGGATAGTTCAAAATAAGGTTAAAAGCAGTTGATAACATACCCTTTGTTAACTGCGTCAACCATATTATACTAATCTGAAAATTGTGTATGTGTCCTTGAAGTCACAAGGAGGATGTTTATAAGAGGTTTTGCAGAAGTAGTGCGTCCTGGAGTGTTGAACACTCAGGGCATAGCAAGAGAAGGTCTGTAATATACAATGTCCTTCTTTATCCTTCCTCAGTAGCTGTTTAATATTTGTATTCCATTAGATTGCTCACTTTGACGTGGATGGCTTGTTTAGCAACATTGAATTGGTCCATCAAGTATCAGCCAAACTGCTGTCATTGTTGGAAGAAGCCACAACAGATGTGGAACCACCCATGCAAATAATCGGTATGTTTACTGTCCTCTTGAGTTCTACAAAGCTAGTGAAAGAATAAATATAACACTCTCCTGTCCTCTACTCTCATCAGACTTAACTAGTACTCCTCCCAGAGGTTGGCATGCTAGAAGCTGTTCATAATGACACAGGAAAAATTACATATGAAACCTGTCCAGTTCCTCTGGTGTACTCATATGATCATGATGTTCCTTTTCCATCCATTTGGATGTTGAGTGGGAGGGAAGAAGGAGAAAGTGAGTTTAGAACAAGTTAAAACTGCAGCACCGGAAGAAGGAGAAAGTGAGTTTAGAACAAGTTAAAACTGCAGCACCAAGTTATACAACTCACAGATAACATCTTTTTGATCTAGTTTGATATCGCCTACCTATATGCACTCATGCTTGCAGCAACTCTTATATTGAATACTCATAGTTGTGCCATTCAGGAAGAGCATTAAAAACAATTGGAGTAAGAAACGTGTCACAACCCCACCCCACTCCAAGTGCTGTGAACATGTACCTATTGGTGATACAGTTCATGGAAGAGATGGTTAAGTGTGCTTAACAGGGACATGGACAGTAAAGAAAGTTGTAATTCATCTGAAGTTTGTGGGATTCTGTGTAGGAATGTCTGTAAGGATCATTGGTGTTTTAGCAAACAGGCTGGCCCTGGGTAATTCATAACATTCACAAATTCTGCAGGTCAGCCATGAATGTTAAGGCTGTGATTCACTTGATATTCTGACACAAAAGGAGATATTTAAGAAGTTACCACTCATCAGCTCTCCCATAACTGCTTCCTTAGTACAGAGGCAGTAGGTGAGCCACCTTAAGGGATCAGGTGAGAATTCTTAGTTTCTTGCAGTGCAAAGTCAGCCAGTTTACTTTAAAAAACTTCCAGTTGTGATTCAGAGGTCAGAGAGGTTCTTTCTTCCCTAAATTGACCACATACCACAGGTAACACGTTATAGAAAGGACCCCTCTTCTCGGTAATAATGGGGTAAAAAATATTGGTTGCCATTTGACTAAGAAATATGACATTAAAGCATATGATGCTTGGGAAAAGTATTAATCCTAGCATGTCTCAATCTGGTTTGCCAAGGCAACAGCGTACTGTAGTTTGATATGACTGTGTTGTTTGATGGTGTTTCAGTAAAAGTGCATCATGATGAGTCATATCCTTAATAAGCAATGTTCTCTTCTAGCAGGAAGTGCCTTTCTCACAGCCAAGAGAATAATTCTATTCCTGGTCACATCCAGAAGTAAAAACAAGCAATTTCATCCATCTATTAAGGGTGTGTTTCTCACGAGTCAGACAAAGAACCATGAAAATGTATGGGATCATGGATCACAGAGTTGGCTAAGCTACAGCAGGGAAAAAGTGTTAAGTAAGGTGTGAGACATTCTGCCAAAGGCTGAGACAAAAGCAGGGAGAATAACTGTATCACTGTCAGCAGTAAGTTAGTAAGTTTGTTGTTCTCTACAATTACATCAAGGTGATAGTTCTATTTTCAGGATCTTCATAATCAGTGTAAAAGTTGTTAAACCAGTCTATAGAAAAAGCATGCCAAGAATATTTGACACACTCATCATTTTCTGTCATATTTAATGTATTTTAAAATCTTGCATTGAAATACCTTACTTTGGAAGACAGCCCACTCATGGTGAGGTTGAGCAGAACTGCTAATTCACTGCTTTGAAACCAAAATAATGTGGTTGCTCATATTCATAAGGTTGGACAGCAGAAGATGTGCCCTTGAAGTGTGTCTTCTGGTAATTACCATCCTCACAGAGGGATTCAGTTTGTGTCTCTGTGACTGCTCCACCACACAGCCAAGGCATGGGGGTTGAGGACTACTGAGTGGTTGGCTTCAAAGGCCCTCTCCTAATCTGAGCCAAAATGCTAACGTAGACAGACCTGTTGTGGTGCTTGGTCTGCTCTGGCTAAATGCCACTGAGGTTAAATACCCTTTCTAGTTCTCTCCTGAATTTTTCCTCCTCTCTGTTCTGGATATTATATGTGGAGGAATATGAAGACTTGTAATCTTAAACCTGGCTTTAGCTCTTAGACCCCTTCTGTCCACACAGGAAGCACCACTGAAAGCCACAGGGAGAAACTGTTGCTCAAGCCTTCCTCCCAGGATTTTCTCTTTGAGACTGATGACCACTATATTCAAGAAAAGGAATCAGTCAGATTTGCATCTATCAGGGTATTTTTAAAGCTGTGCCCACATGCAATGTGGGTTTGGTCCATAAAGCAAGCTCCCACAGTGATATGCCCAAAACTCATCTGATGCGGTCCATGTGGCTCAGAACCAAGAAGGGCTTTAGGTTTAAGAAATCCTTCTGCTTTTAAAAAGGCCCTATCCGTGAAAACAGCACATAATTTTTCTCATCATTGAGCATCAATTAAAGTATCTGTCATTGTGGCACAATACTTCAATGAACTGAACTTGCTCATCTCTTTCATCCTGGAGAAGAGAATGATAATTTTCAGCCTCTAGTATATACTGAAATGAGCTACAAGCCTACAGCTTGCATTTTTCCTACTGAAAACATAACATCACTTCAAGGCTTAGCATAGTACAGGACATGCTAACACTTGGAGCTCTGCTTAATGTTAGTGAAAACTGTGAGAGCTCAGCATCTCTGAGAATCAGGCACCAAGCAAGCAGGATCAAGAGAAAGCTTGTTAAGGTTTCCTCTTACATCACTGGCTAATAAAGAGAGGTGCAGAGAGTTCGTGGGAAAGTCAGGATGCAATGTGCATTGGTGGCCATCAGCATTAGCAGTAAGCACAAGGCAGAGAAGACAGCCAAAACCCATTTAGCTGTAGGACATTGTTGCCTTTCTGACTGTGCCCTTACAGTAACCAAAATGAACTCAGGTGGTCTTAGCTCCTCATTGTTTTTCCCTTATTTGCACCTTGAACCAACATGCAGTAGACAGCCCAGTTAACCTTCACTGCTAGGGGAAAAAACCCGGAGCGGTGTTACTGTGGTAACTGAATCATTTTTCACTCTAAGACGGAGTGGTTCAATGCAATGTATTATGAAACAGCACACTCTGGTCAGGATGAAACATGCAGGATGCCTGACAGCTCAGTGCTTGCTCTGTGAATGAATAGAGAGCTCCCAATTAATGTGGTGCTGAGCTTTTAAATTTAATAATCATTGCTATAACTCAACAGGAATATTTATAAAACATTGGACTGATTGCCACATAGATGTAGTTTTCAGTAAATGCCCAAGACAGGAGTTTTCAGCATTGCTGTTATTATATGCATTTCCAAGGATGCTGATCAGGGCACTGCTACATAAGGGTGTAAGAACTGAATTAATATCCCAGCAGAAGAGGTGAAGAAAGCCTTCTCTGCTCAGATAATATTTCCTGCATACAGAGAAACAGACACAGGAGTTTTAGGCTGGGAGAATTAGGTTCCAGAATTAAATGGGAAATGAGTGCAGGACTACTTTAGTGCCTCTAAAATTCCCAACTGTTCTTTGGCGTAAAAGAGTGGTGTGGAGGACTGGAAATGGAAGTGTTTTCCCCCTTCAGTTGTATAGATACTATACAAAAATGGCTGTAATCCATGGTGGTTTTACTTAATTAAGGGAGGGGTGGAGGTTGTTCCTCTGTCATGTAAAGAAAACTCTCTGTTCTAGGCCATAACAATTGCCATTTCAGGATTTTGCGAAACAGATAGAATTGCAATGGCTAATGGAAGATACTGTCATTATTCCTGTTATAACCCATTTAAGTTCATATTCAGTTGATAAAAAAGTCCAAAGGAAAACTAACAAGCTTACATTCATCCCTCCTGCCAGCCCATGACACTAAAATGGTTTCCCTTTATCAGTTAAGCTCTCCTGTGTGTTTTCCAATGAAGGGGCATTAAGCTGGGGCAGTGAATTAGGAGGTTGTGTTTGAAGGGGTGCGAGGTATAGAGATTTCGTGCTTTTTCCTGAGGGAATTTTTGTGCATTAACACTGATATAATGGTGCCTGGCTATGACAAAGATGAGCAGCTGAGAAATACATGTAATAAATAATGCACATAAACACGCAAGATCGTTTCTAAGGGAAGTAAAGTGGAAGGCAGCCTTTTTAGCTCACGGCTAATGTGGTGGAATAATAAAACTCCTTCTGAGATGCTGTTGTCTGACTTGACACGCTTTGTTTTTCTCCTTAACAGGGGAAGTGTTCTTGCAGATTAAAGGCCCACTAGAAGACACATATAAAATCTACTGCTATCGCCATGATGATGCACACACCATGCTGGAATCCTATGAAAAGGATGAAGAACTGAAGCAGCATTTAAGAGACTGTGTACAGTCCTTAAAGTAAGATCTCTTCAAATGATGATTTCCGTCCATAGTCAGTTGCCTGGCAGGGAACATTTTAAATGGATGTAGATGAAAGGTCCCCTGTAAATCCGGAGTTTTATGAGGCTTGCTGGGAGCTCTGGCTTATGCTGCTTTCATGAAAAGATGGCAAGCCAGGGGCCATGATTAGATTTCTTTCTCTCTAAGATGGCCAAAAATAGCACAAGAAAGGTTGCTCTTCCCTTAGTTTCAGTGCCCCATACTGGCAAAAAATAAAAAGTGCTGCATCATATCATGGGCTATTGGAAATGCCTTGCCTAGCTCCCAGGACACTTGCTGCTCCACTGTCTTCAGCAATTCTATTGCTTGAATTAAAATAGTCTGTAATGGAGCTACTCAAATGCACTGGTGTTTTTGGGCCTCAGTTGCAAGGCCCCAGGGATGTGGATCTGCTGTGTGGTGCTGAACCCCTCATGATGGAGGTATTTGGGAGCGAACAGGATGAGAGAAAGCTGCCAGGTCCCACCAGCAGAAGGTGCGTTGTGCCGTTGGCTCCAGTGCCAGCCCCTCAGGGAAATGTGTCAAGAACTGGAGTTGCCTCGGAATAATGGACCCATCTTTCCTCAGGCACAGCTTCCTCCTGCAGCCAGTCGCAGGAATCAGCTCATCCACTCCATGGAGGGTACTTCTCTTCCCTCCCATAAATCCCTTTGCTGCTTCACTTTCCCCAAAGCATCACGCAGAGCTGTCAGGAGGGAACATGCCACAGTTTCAGAGCAGAGGTCTAGCTCCAGCTCCAGGAAAGGCCCATGCTGCACACCTGTAGGAGAGATGTAAAGCTATTGCAAACAAAGGAGTGTACATCAGCAACATATATTTCAACCACACTCTAGTTAGTGATTGGTCTGCAGAGATGTTAAGACTTAGGAGATGGGAAGTATATCCAAGTGAAATGTGAAAAGAGTGGTGGAGGAAAATATTAATAACATTAAAAAAGACATGTTTGCTTTGAAGACAGTTTATGTTGAAAATGAGGCTTACTTTATGCAACATGTCCAGATATTAAAACACAACGAAGTCCATGTACTGGATGCTCAGGTTTTAGCTACCCTGGAAGTTGAAAGAAATAAATTTTCATATAAACTCAGGCTTTCAGTCTAATGGATGGCCAGGTATCTCCCTTAAGGGGGTGTTCTAGTTGCTGATGCCTACAATATTCTTTCCTGCTAATCAAGAGAAGCCACTACTGTCATTCATCCATCCCTGCTGCTGAGGAATGGAAGGAAATAAAGATTAAAAAATAGCACCCACATACATGCTAGGGTGGATGCTGCCACTTGAATTCCAGAGCCAGCAAGACTTGCTCCTGTTCCAACATCACAGCTGGGCTTTATGAAGAGAAAGGATATTTTGTGCTGAGCCATTGTAGCCTTTGCTAGCAGGAAGTGACAAAGATTTCCTTACAGTGAAGCGTTTTGTCTTGTTCTTTCCTGATTAGCATTTAAACAGGAACCAAGGATAGAAACACTGGTGTGTGTATACTATGTTGTGCTTTTTCCCAGTGCCTAAAGATTGCATCCAATTCGAATATTAAGACCTGAAAGTGCACACTCAAATGCAGAACTGTGGTCATCTGAACCTATTACTACTCACTGGAGAATATTTGCTGTAGGAAGAAAACTATGAAGGATTGTTACCAAATAAGTTATAGGCTGTTTGCCATTGTGAGACAGCAAATATGGGGGCTGGTAGGACTGTTCTTGAAAATGTTTACTTGTTATATATTTTTATTTCCTTGGAAAGAATATTGTTCAATTTTAAAAAAATTTAAATGGGCTGACATTACTAGGGTCTTCTGCTCCTCAGCTGAGTAATATCTGGCATGTGAAAATAAAGTTATATATCAGGAGCAGTCTGAGAGTGGCACTCTGCACATCTGTACTGACAAATCAGATTTAATTAGCTATGCTGAAATTCCTATTCCTGTTGAATGAAGAGGAAAAAAATCCATCCCAAAATGTAGGTGTATGCATTGGAGGCATGTGCAAATCCATATTCTGTAGAGCCCCATGTTTCAGCAGCAATTATGCAAACTGGGGGTGTTTGCTAGCTTAGCCAAAGAAATGCAGCTGGTAAAAATAAAAGGCTGCTGGCAGCTACCTGCTCAGCTTTCAGCCTGAAGGAGCTTGGTCAACTATTACAGGGGCAGAGGGATGTTGTAGGCACACAAAATGCTGACAGTGCAGAACCAATGAAAGCATGAGCTTCCAGCTGCTCAATCTAGACACCAGTGGGCAAAGAGATAAGAGTGCAGGCAGTCAAAAAGGAGTGGCTGAGGATGTGATGTCAGGAAAGCCTAAGGCAGAGATGGAGTGACATTTGCTTCTTTTGCATTTGACTGGATTTATACCATAAGGAAAACATTCTATGCACGTGTTTGCAAAGTGCAGTTATAAGTCCCTGCTGCTTTCAGTGTATCCTGCTCTGGAGAGGTTTCGGTTGATGTGTTGTCTGCAAAAAACTTAACAGCTTCTATATCCTATATATATAACAGATTCTATATCCTAAAAGGCTGAAATGCATTCTTTCTCATTTAGAAATACATTTCTATTTAAAGTGAGTAGACAGGGATGCATGTAAAGTTAAGAATGACATGTTTAATTTGACTTTTTGTATTAATGACTTGATGTTACTTACCATTGTTTGCAGAGTGACCCAAACTTCTATCTCTAACAGTGTGGGGACAAGGCTGGGTCTCACAGCCAAAGCCAGGTTTCTTTCTGACAATCCATCTCATTTGGGACTGTCCTTTCAAAAAGTTATAGGGCCAGATTCACCAGTACCCTCTGGCAGTTCTGCTGATCACATAGCAGCCATAAACCTAAGCTAACTGGCCAGTTCTGGCTGCTCTGTGTCACTGAAGTGTGTCTGAGAATCTGGCTCCTGATCTGTAAAAATCCTTTTGGGAGGAATCTTACATGTTTTGTTTCCTTCTCTTTTGCAGAAAGATCTATGAAGAAGAGTAAGTACTATGCCTTTCTTACATGTAAAATAATCTCTGAAATATCTTTAATTTATCTTTACTATGTTTAAAACTGTACAGGTGGAAATTTTAAGAACGCTAACCTTTTTTGTCAGTATAACCCAAAGATTTTTCCTGGACATATGTAGAGGGCTCTGAGGTCTGCAAGAGTGCTTGTCAACAATATAATGTCAGTCTTTGAAATCCAGACATTCTGAAATAATTTTGCACAGGCCACTGTAGACTTGCTACAATACAGGCAGGGTTGCAGGTAAAGGTATTTCTAAGCTGACAACTCCATCAGTAGCCCTGTATAAGAAGTCCACCTTAGGATCTTCCCTCTGACAGTGGCTGGAAGAACATCAGAAAAGAACAAGCTCATTGCAACACTTAGCCAGAAAACCTACCCAGTCACTGATGAGTTGTGGTTAAAGGACTTCTGTGCCAAATGTGACATCTTTGAAAAGCTATAAAGGAGAATTTATCACAGCTGCAGTTTCTGGACATCCAGCGGGTTGGGATCATTGAAATGCAGCAATGCCTGAAGTTACCTGCAGGGAGAGGTCAGAGGAGGAACTGGCTGAACTGAAGAAAAAGATTACAACCCCAGTTGAAATATTAAAAGAGGAGCAAGTGTGGTCTGTATTGATAGGAGAGGAACAGACTTGTAAAGTCAAAGAATTTGTTAATCAGTCTGTCATTCACACTTCATGATCTGCGTAAAATACACTTCAAAGGATTTGCATGTTGAAACTCTACAGTTGGGGGTATCAAGCTTCAGTCTGTGATAGGAAATAGTTTTTCTGCATTTTGTTTTGATAAGGGACAGTCTTGTGTACTCCTGTTCCACAAGGAGGAGGACCCCAAGGGAAACAAAATATCCAGAGTCACAACATGATAGTGTGAGACAGCAACACATATAGAAATAGCACAAGACTGTCTGCTCTGCCTTGTGTAACCCTATCAAAAATGGATGTCTGGTTTTTCTCCTTCAAATAGTTTCCAGTGGAGTGTAGGACTCGACTCACTTTTTGAGTTGAAACGGGCTCTTACAGAGCTGTGCAGGGTGCAATGAGGTTTGGCTGTAGGACCCTCCCTGAGCTTGACTGCCTCACATGGTGTGGTGGCGTTTGCCTTCCCCACTGTCTGGCAAGACACTCAGAAACCCCATCACCTGCAACTCAGAGGTTGCAGGGTTGCAGCAGCCCTTGGGCAGGACTGCACGCAAAATTCTGATTAACTTTGAACTGGAAAATACAGCATAGCTCACCCCAAACGGTCTGTGATGCTGCTGCTGCCAGACTGCTTTTCATTCAAGCATGATCAAAAAAACAATTACATAAATACCAGACAGTGCTGCCCTTTGCTAGCTACTCGATAGGTTGAACTCTGCTTGGCTTAACAACTGTGCAGCCTCAGTAAATTCCCTGGGTTTGCATGAGAGGCTTATGGCACGATGAATCATTTGCTCTACATGTCTTGTCCTCAAATGAAGCCACACGCAGTAAAACATGAAGCCTGAGACTTTAAGTGGTGCTGTAACCTGATGCCTGCACACCACTGCAAGACTGGCAAGCTGCATATCACACCAGCCTCAGCCCAGCTGTACCACACTGGCTGTCGTGTTTGCCACTGGACCAAGCTGCTGAGTAATGAGAGCAAATGAAACTAATCTAGCATCACCTGCCTTTGTGTTGCTCACCACCATGGGGTTTATAAACAGGTGGGAATCTTTGTGTATTTGTGGCTGTTTGGTCGGGAGGTGGGAGGAAGGGTATGCCTTGGAGCTCACTGCAGTTACATCAGCTGTGTTTGCTGCAAAGCTATGGTGGTAATTTGCAATGAGATTAGTGCAGCCACATATGACCTAGAATACTTGCTAAATTCACAATAACATGGAGGGAGGGGGAGGAGAAAGGCTGAAGTAGCATCACAAATGAATTATCAACTTAATTTTCTGCACAATAGATGTCACAAGCAGTTACTCTCCTGCTTGGCTCGTGTGGCAAGGCCATGTCCTGCCCAGGGGCTGGGTGTGTCCTAGCGGGGCACAGTGCAAGTGGGACAGCAGCTATCTCAGCTCATCTAGATGGGGAGAATTAGATGAGTTGAACTTTGTGGCATTTAGTGCCCCAGGGAGTCATTATCTTACAACAAACCTGCTATCTCTCGCACCATATTGCGAGACTGTGTCATGCAGATACCAAACAGAGGGCTGTTTATCACTTGGGCAGCTGTCCAAAGTGCAACTATATAAAGAGAAGACACTTGAAGATTTTTCCATTCATGAGGCAGCTTTTATAGATTTGCATTCATGGGGCTTTTCAGAGAAAACAATAACAATTTCAGAATTTTTTTTCATTATTGCTGCCAGGAGCTGAAAGAAGGGAAAATAGCTCTCTATTTAATGTAAGATACAGGGGAAATGAGGGGGATTGAAATGATGAGAAGGTTTCGGGACATCAAGAAGCCTTAAAAGGCATCTACTGTTAATTTTTTTGCATGCAGAACTTTTTTACAGATAATGTCTGTTCGAGAGAGATGGTTTAAATATGCAGATGTCTCTTCTCAAAGGCATTCAAATTGTTAGTTAATTAGTCAGCAGTAAGGGTTGGCTCTTGTACTTTTTACACATATAAAAGTGGGAATGAAGGCTTTTTTTCTTTTACTCTTCGTGCTTCACAAAACAGTAGATGTCAGCCTGCAAAACCAAGTGGCTGTTCCCTTTTTTTTTGCACTTTCCTTTTACATTATTTCATCTTTCAGTGTGCAGAAATCCTTCTTTGCCTGCTCTTAACTCTTGCATAGTTAAGATCAAACAACCTTTTCCACTCCAAAACAGCCTTTTTGGACATGTAGATGGAAAGCTTGCTCTGCTTTATTGCCCTCCCCACTCTTACCAGCAGCTCATGCTCACTTTCAATGGGGAGGTGTGTAAGTCCCATGCAGCTGGTGCTGGAGCTTTGCCTGGTTTGATGAGGGTTGTTCTGCAATGAGGAGAGGCCACAGACATGTCCTGCTGCTGGAGCCTCAGCAGTGGCTGATCCTGGCCCTAGGACTTGGCCACCTGGTATTACCTGCCCCCGTGAGACCTCATGTTTCTACCAGCCCCACAGAAGGTAATAAAGACACATGTGGCTTGGTCTTGCACTTCCCTGTTTCCTTCCAGGTTGTTGTGACAGCCTTGAAACTGCACAGCCTCTTCCCTTCAAGCCTGGAGAGTGTGAGCAACGACTTTTGTCCAGACTGGGGCTGGAGCTTGAGTTCAGCTGGCTGGGGCCCCAAGAGCTTGGGTGGCCTTCATGGCCTGAGCCGCTTGGAAGCAGCATAGAGAAGCTGCTCTGCTGCCCCTGCCCAGGCAGTGGGGATTGAGCCTAGAGCTGCAGAGCATCCCTGTGCCTGTGCTGGAAGCTCTAAGTCTCCTGCCCTCATCCTTCTGCCACCCTGGCTTGCCATCTGCTTTGCCTTTGTGTAAGAAGTCTTCCAGCAGGTTGGATCAAGCCTGGGTAAACATCCTGTGTGTTCAACATTTTCTCAGGCCAGATCTGATACCCTTTGGAACCTCAGGCATCATTAGAAATAACCGACTGGCAGCCAGCAAAGAAAAACCACAGTAAAAAGACAGTAAAGCTTAAGGGTCACAGTGGCAAGTCAGGGATGTTGTGAGAAGGGGTGCACTGTAAACAGGCATCCCAGTTACTCACAGCACAGAGATGTTGCAATGTTAAGCCTGAGGGGTCAGAGCAGGATGTAACAGCCCTGCTCATATGCATTTCTCAAACTTCCTGTTATTTGTTCTTCCACCTACGTCTCCCTTTCTGCGTGTTGTGGGACACTTTCAGAGGTAATGTCTAAGCAATAATCTGGTAGGTTGCTGAAAATCCAGAAAATTCAGACCCAGGGTGTATTTCTCATTGAGGAGGCAACAGGAGGGTGTAATTTACAACAGCCCCTGTTCCCTGACAGATGTGTCTTATTTTTTCACTTAAGTGGTAATTGCACTTAAGTGACTGACTCAGTGCAAAGCACTGTTCTGGTTATGATATTTTCTGTGGATGAAAGCTCAGCTGAAGGATATAAAAAGCAGCAGCTTCAATAACTAGACAGAAATAATGAGTTTTGTCTTCAAGGAATTTCTCATTTTGTGGCAATTTTTTTGTATAAATTATAGAGGAAAGCCAAATCTAATGGATATGGGATCCCTGATGATCAAACCAGTGCAACGGGTGATGAAATATCCCTTGTTACTCCGTGAACTCTTGAATTCAACTCCTGCTTCTCACCCTGACCACAAGGTGCTACAAGATGCCCTTCTTGCTATGAAAAACATTAATGTGAACATCAACGAACTTAAAAGGAGGAAAGATTTAGGTAAGAAGAAAGCACAGTAAGTTCTGTCTTTCTGGGTTTGGGCTGGCCATTACAAGAGAGGTTTCAACTCCAGGCATTTCACTACAACAGTTTTGTCTGGTGCCACCCAAGTTATGTAATATTTGGAGTTTGAAGAAAGTAACAGATGCCTTAATGTCACTTGTCCTCAGCCAACTATGTTATCTATCTGGTAACTCCAGAAATACAAAAACCATGAAGAAATTAATCTTGTATCCATGCTCATTGTCTGTAATGCAGTTGTGAACACTGATAATAATTGAGATGCAGTAATAGCAATATTTCTTATAAACTTGCCATGCTGAAGCCCTAACTTCAGTCTTCCCATGGCTAGTGTTGATAACAGGGTTTTCATCCTCTCAAGCGTTTTCACACAAGATTACAGCAAGTGACATCAAAGTGTCTCCTCTCAAATGGTTTCATATTTGTGTGCCTGTCCCTGTGAAAAATCCTGCGAATACAGATTATTAATGTAATGAAATTCTCTCTCTGCAGTGCTGAAGTATATGAAGAATGATGATGATGAAACCCTTAAAGAAAAGTTTTCCAGACTGAGTATCCACTCCATTAGCAAGAAATCCAAGAGGGTCACCAGCCATCTGAAAATACTGACAGGGGGAGAACCTCAGGTACTTTCTCATCCAACTGAAGATTTGCATTGACAGCTTCAGTTCTGCTTTTGCATTGGGCACTTTTCACAGTGTTGGAAATGGAGTTTGTGGTGTTGCTTTTTTTTCTGCATCATTTATAAAGTAATTTTCTGACTGTCACAGAAGACAGGAAAGATCTTTGTGATTGAAATAGAAAATAATGTAATGTGTTCTCCACCTTTTCCTTTTTTTGCACAAGAGTTTCTCAAACTTCTAATCTTCAGCAGAGAGGAAGTGACTGGTAGTTTTGTGAAACTCAGCCTGAGGTCAGGATTTTGCAGATAGACTGGCAATAGTTATTGTTGGTGCTGAGAGTGTGTTCAGTCTGTCTTGCTCTGCATTGTAGCATTCAGGTTCAGAAACCACTAAGGAAGATGAGCAATACTTCTAGTTAGTTGTAAAGACCTGGAGCCATCAAAACCACCAGAGACAAAGGACTCTGTGATGAGTCTGATGGGTGTTGGGTGGCCTAAAATAAAATTCTCCTTCATAATTTTGAAGTTGTAATACAAAACCTAGCAGGATAAAGATTTTCAGGAAAACTTAGATCTAAATCTCAAAGAAAATCAATTACAACTGCCCTTGAAAGTGATATCCAGTGCAGCTCACTGCATGAGATGGTTGATTATACAAGGTCACTGCCTTTCTAGATATGACTTTACAAGATACGTGCTGGGTTTTTTTCCTGGTTGTTTTTTTAATCAGTGGTTTCCCCTATTCTCTGATGCAAACTACCCACATTTATTTTTTTCTGTTCATTTATTTGTACAATGGAATTTTTTTAAATTCAGAATGTGACAGACATCAGCAAGGCTAATATCAGAGAAAAACGGAATTATATCTGATCAAGAGGATACGTGATTTTTCTTTCTTTTTTTTTTTTTTTTCCCCTTTAGAAGCTTCTGGTTTATATTTTTTGGGTTTGTTTTTAATTAATCTTAAAACATTTGGGAATCATTTTAGAATCAGAATACATCTGTTAAAGACTCAGCCCTCTCGACTAAGGATGTTCCCAATCCACAGTGTGAAACACTCTGTGATAATTTAAGACCACTAAGGCGAGACTGGAGGTTTCTCAAGCTCCTTAAGGAAGAGGGTGGGCAGGAATAAAGGTGTTTTCGGGCTGTTTCCAGGGATTCGGCCCAAGCCTTTCCCGGCTGAGGGGAGCTCTGAGGGGACAGTGCCACCTGCAGCCCGCGGGGAGAGGAATCCCGCGCACAGCCGAGCCCTCAGCGCCTCCCCCTGCCCTCAGACGAGCCGAGACAAACGGGAAAAGTCATAGAATCATAGAATCAACAG